AAAAGAGTTAGATGTTTTGAATAAAAAAATACAGTGCAACATTCAAAAACTATGTAAAATTTGAGATTTCTAACAACAATTAATCCTGACCTTAAAAGATGTATATAGTTCCTCACCTCCCAAATTTTGGAAGATCATTAGTAAACAATTTATAGTTCATCAAGAACCAAAACGCCATCTAGTTTCAAAGCAAGCTTAAATCCCAATCACACAATACTAGGCGCATCTCCTTCCCAGCTACAAACGGCCCGCGGCCAACGCGTTCTAATGCAATCGACCAACGGCCCATGCTGAGCAACGGGCTCTGGAGCAGCAGTCGGGCCCTTAGCCAACCGGATCGAGTTGTCTATCACGTTCAAGTCATCAACATCCGGGCCACGCGGCCCAGCCACCACAAGCTCCTCTGGGGCCCACCTCGGAGGAACCGAAACCCTCACTTTAACCAGTGTGGGCCTCTGAAAGGGACCCGCCTCATTCCCACCACCACCCACGACCGATTTCGCAATTCCGTTAAAATGGTAGAGATCGAAAACCTTCTCCCCGGTCGACCCGGCCGAGTCGTCCTTCATTCCGCCTAAACTCCGGTCCAATTCCAGAAGAGCCTGCCAGAAATCGCTCCAAACCACAAAATCCGAACTGCAAAGGCTCTCGACTTTCTCGGGCGGGAAACGGATGCCCCTCCCGCTGATGATGTGGCGGAACCCCTCGGAGCTCACGAACCCACCGCCTCCGCTCTGGTCCTGGGAGTCGAAGGCCCGTCGAATTTCGGACTCACGTTGCTCGAGCTCGTTCTCGTCTTGGACTCGGGAGTCGGGTGCGAAAAGGACCGTGTAGTGGGATTCGCTCCCAACAACCCATATGGGGCGATTTGGGCATTTGAGGTTTTGGCCAACTTTGCAGTAGTTGAGGGACTCGAGTAGGGTAAGAAAACCGACCTCGACTGGGGTCGAGATGCCTTTTACGAACATGCCCCCGCCCAAGTCAATACTCCCGTCAAACACATTGGCGACTGCTTTTCCGGAGAGTAGTAGGTTCACGATTTCCTATTTTACAGGAAAATATAAAAATTTTCAGATATTACACACACATATGAGAGAGTGAGGATTATATACATAAACTGTTCATTACCTGTGAAGCATGCCCAAAAGGAGCTGTGACTAAAGGTTGAGTTGGGTCATCCATGTCCTCTCGAACAGCATCCTGGCCCATAATTAAGCCGCATTACTTAAAGTAATATTTAAAATAAAAAAGTTAAAGTTGATTTAATGTAAAAGTAGGAGAAGGATGATGTGAAGTGATGGTTAGTTAAATTATGTGAGTTGATGAAAAGTGAATTAAAGTTGATGTGATATGTAAGAATAATTTATATTATTTAATTATACTTATAATATCGAGGATAGTGGAATTGAGTTAGATTTTGAGTATGAATTCAATATAGATTGGGTTATTTTATATACAAACACACTCAAGGATCAACTGAATATTCCAAAGCAAAAAATTTGTTTAATGTACACGCATATTTGATTTGAGTCAAAGTACTAGAATAATATACCAGTCCTCGAGACAACAATGCAGATATCAGAAAGAGCAATGCTCCCATGCGGCTTCTGAAAACAGGAAGCAATTCTTCAAGCTTTTGGATCAAACTTGAACGAGATGTGCATGTATAGACTCTTAGAATATTCTGCAAGTCGGATCCAGTTTCAACAGAAACACCTTCGAGTGCCTTCGAAATGACCTGATTAACAAGATGCAAATAGATTGCGAGATGAGGTACTTATCGAAGCTGTTGCTAAGGGATGATAAAAACTGAAATCGTATTTTCTCCATCATCTGGCTCCCAAAATAATATATATCCCCACCATTTTATGGCAACCACTATAATAACAAAAAGATTCACATGAAGATGATGAATAAGAGACCGCAGATAAACGTACAGACCCTAGGAATGGGAAAATAACAGAACTCGCCTCATCTGATGGCCCATTTGCAGCCTCCGAAAATTCTGACAAAGGAATATTCAAACATGCTACAGCAGCTGCTTCATTACTTCCACATAGAAAGAGTACATCACTCATACTCCTCACCAAGGCTCTGTTTGAAGAAGAAAGTACTTAGTAATAACAAGAGAAACTATCAAACATTGAACGGGGGCAAGTCAAGATCTGAAGAGTATTAATATCCAGACAACAACAATGAGGCAGAGATAACCTTTTCATTCATACTTTAAATAACGTAATATAAATTAGTCCGTGGAGTCATTCAGGGTAATGGATACATATATTAAGTATATGAATTAGTCACATTACAATAAAGTCCAACGATAATTAGAAATAATTAGCACAAAAAACAATGGAAATCTCCTACATGGATTCCATCGATGCGTACAATCTATTGAAAAAGGAAAAATGATATATTATTGTTAATAGGAGCTAAGATGCTATCTAGAAAATAAATTACCGTGACTTCTTTTCCTCCGAAAGAGACGAGAATATATCTGCTCCTATAGAGTCATTCTTGGACAACTTTGTCGTAGCCATATTTGATAGATCATTAGGCACAGGATTTTTAGACTCCTCTAGAGAATATAGAAGGTCTTTGAGTACAAAACCCTGCGTTGCCAAGAAATTAAATCATAAGCAGAAACAAACACTGCATCATTTATATATTTGTATGGTACTATAAGGTGGAAGGAAAGTGAAAGTTTCACATTCTCATGCAAAAGATATAGGTCAAGTTCAACCATGTTTTACGCATGTTTTAAGCTTAAGGCTCACTGAGATTTACTGATATACCCCTCAAAATTAACTCTGTGTAACTACAGATTCAACAAACCAATCAAACACATTACATATTTTCCTGAGCTTTTCTAGAGCTTTGCAATAAATCCAAGCGGGATTACATCTTCAAGCACAATCGCATGGGAAAATCGACCGAAGTTTGCAAACAAAATACTATCAGGTAGTCAGCTTAGTCAATGCACCATGAAACTGAAATGGCATGAAGGATAATGACAATTCATGGCGTAAGAAAGACAAAAGACATTGGAGATCCCAATTACGCGGAGATTATTCTTATGCAAACTCATTTAAACGTGAATCATATAGCTTATTGGGTCCTTCAATACATAGAAACTAATAAATACACTAACTCAAAGATGGTTGGCATAAAAGAACATCGAAGTTATCAACATTATAAGTTAAATTAAGTATGGAACAGGAAATATATGGACATGAATCCATTACCTGTATGGCTGCTAATACACCACAGGGTCCTCCCTCATGCTGTACCAAGCCCATCGATGTTTCTGGATCATCGCTAAACCTGCAAGGGTAGTTTGCAGATTTAGGAAATGATTAATGGACAAAATATTGTTTGCTAACAAAACAGTGCACACCAAATCTATGAAACCTAACATGACAGGGGATACTAGAATCAGATTGCAATGCATGATATGATACAGTCGTGTATGCGTTGAGTCGAACCCATGCACAATTCATTTACTTTGATTTTAATGACCGCATTTCATTTCACTCAAATTTCTACCTGCTTATCTAATTACAAATCAAGGAACAAGAATTACAAAAATTAGGCATCTATCAACTGCCTGACATGTGAATAGCAAGATTTAAATTTTTCAAACTAATTGAAAGAAAAAAAAAAAAGGAGGGGGGGGTGGGGTCGGTCTTACCTAATGCCCTGATTGCTCCATTGTCCGAGCACATTCTCGCAAACCCTGTCCCCAAAAATTATCTGGAAAAGCTTCTCGGCCTCCGCCATGGACAACTCCACCTCAGACTTCCCGCTGTTTTCAGCACCTTCCACAACACCCTCTAAACCCTGATTCTCTGCATTCTTCGAACTCCAGACGCTCTTCACCTCAGCCATCCGCTTCTCCGCAGCCGCGGCCATTAACTCCCGCTGCCTCCGCCGGCTCTCCACCTCCGTCAACTCCTCCTCCACCGGCGGCGCCACCCCTTCAGCTCCGACGAAACCCTCCCGCGACTCGCCCTTCTTCAGCTCCGGCGACTCGCGGTCCTGCATGCTGAGTTTCAGCGCCATTTTCAAGTCATCCGCTTCTTGATCCACCATCGACATCGATCGAGAAATGATTGAAATCTGCCTTCGGAAATTGAGGGTTTGATTTAAGAGTACCAAAAAGAATCCCAACCTCAATCTTTTATATTGAAAAAAATTAGGGTTTCTGAGAAGAATCTAATTAACTATAATCTGTACAGCCTGTGTGCTGTAATATTTACAGAATCGATTCAAAAATTGTTTGAAGGGCTATTGTGAATTCAAAAAAGCATGACGAAAATGTGGATTTTGGTGCAGAAAATATCTGATACAGAGAATCAAGAACACAGTGTATGAGAGTCGTAAAATCGCCGGAAAATTTTCAGGTGGGCAGTGGGAGGGGCGATACGGCGACGTATTGGGTGAGTTGTACCGTTATGTGGGCTTCTGCAATGACATATATGTCCACGAAGGGGTCAAAAGTCAAAACTCAAAACGATACAAAACGTGCAATTGGGATGGGATGTTCAAGTTATCTGCTTTTTGAATATGCTTTTTTCCCCGCACCTGATCCCCTTTCCTCATCGATCATCTTTGGTCGATTTAGGCGCCCCCCTTGGCAGGGCACTCCGAGTTGCTCGGAGGCAGCGGCCCTAGTCCTTGCAGTTCGTTTCTTGGAGGATCACCGACGGGATGTGTTGTTCTCTCACAGGAGAAGGCGGAGCCGGCCCAGAACAGGTATTCACCGAGTTGCTAGGATGAGGTTGCAGGTGGTCGTCTTCTCGGTGTTCATCCGTTGTGACGATCCCTCGTGCTTCTTCGTGTTTGGGTAGCGGCTCGTTTTCTTCTTTTTGGGGGGGATTTGGGGGAGATTCCGACTAATTCCAATGAGCCGCTCCTCTTTTCCTGGTGTTGGATGGAGGGGTTGGCTGTCGAGGCCAGACCGACGTCCGGATTTTCGAGCTTTCGTCCTGGGTTTTTTTGGTATTGTTTGTGGGTGGCTAAGGTGGGGTTCTCCGTACTAGGGCTGGGGCGTTCGTCCGGAGTAGGGTTTGAATCGTTGGTATCGACTTAGTTAGACATTCTTTTGCAGTTTCTGGGTCGGACTCCAGGGTTGTGGCTCGGTCCGATTAGATGGAGGTCCGTCAAGCATTGACATTGTGTAGCTTGGTGTAGTGTGTCTGCCGCGGTGAGAATTGATTAGTCTATGTTGTTAGGTTGTGTTCTGTTGTAGTTGTTTTAGCTTATTTGCTAGTGTTTGTGTGTTTTGGTTCGTTTTGTTAGTGTTTCCTCCCTTTCTCTCATGTCGGAAGTGTGTTTGGTGTATTCTCATGTTAGAAGCTTTTGGTTATTTCTCTTGTTGGGGGCCTTTTGTGTGTGTTTTTTTCTCTTTTTGGGAGTGTGTAGTTGTGTTGTAGGGTGATTCTAGGCTACCGTCGGTGTATACATTGTACTTGTATTCATCCCTACTGGAGTCAACTATTCAGCTTATTAGTAGTCGGCTGCTTATTCGGCTGAGTAGCTGGTCTTTAGTCTCGACTTTGTTGTGAATATATGATGCAGAAGAAATATAAGTATTATTATTATTATTATTATTATTATTATTATTATTATTATTATTATTATTATTATTATTATTATTATTATTATTATTGTTATTATTAAATAATTAGTAGTAGCTTAGGGAATAAGCTGAGTTTAGGTTACAGGTTTATTTAAAGGACTCTCATCTTTTGTGTTAAGCAGTTGGATTTTGAGAATGAAAAATTAATCGTGTTATTTCGGTAGAGTATCCCAAGTTTGAGAGAGTATCTCGTATTGTATCTTTTCTCTTTCGTTCACGCTTTCGCTACATCAGTTGGTATCCAGAGACCAGCGACGATCCACGATGCCGCCAAAGAGAGATAACGTTGACGATCGTTTCTAACGACTGGAAGAGCGTTTCCAAGGGGTGGACGACCAATTCACGAACCTCTCATCGGGGATTGAGGAGATTCGCCAGGCCATTAACACCATGATGGAAGAGACTCGTGCGAGACTCGATGGGGATGACCGGGGCCATCGCGGAGGGATACGCAGAGGTCGTGGGGGTCGAGGTTACGGCGGGGCTCCCCGCCGACGATCACCACCGCCACCGTCGACCGGTGATGTTTATGATGAAATATCGAGGGACCAAAATCAGGACCAGGACTTACGGTGGAGTGATGTTTTCGACAGACCTCCACGCAGGGCCGTTGTGCGGCGAGTCAGCAGTAATGAGGTTGGGCATAGGGGTGCTCAATTTTTCGGTTTTCACAGAGGCGTGGAAAAGGTGCAGCGATGGGACGACTTGGGGGATGCACAAAAACGCAACAGAGAACCAGATTTCTTTCATTCTTTTGGGCCTGCGAAGGGACGACCCAATTCAATTTATTTGTCCCATGGGTTGGATAACATTTTTCCATATTTTTTGGCCTGTGAAGTGGGTACAAAGAATGGGTTTGTTCAGAGGGATTTTGGCCGCGAATTTGGTCATCGGGTAAGCCCGTTTCGTGCTGACATTCTTGACATTTACGAGGATCACATTGACGGGCCAATTTACGACGGTCCGCCCGTTTTTTATGACAAGCCTCCAGTGCCGGAGACATACACTTTGAGCTACACGTGGGACATCGCCACGGTTGACCCTTCTCCCGAAAAACCATCATTTGGACCTAATTTTCGGGACATCTTAGCCAAAGATGGTTTTTGGGGGCCGAGGATGAATCCCTTATGGTCTGTTTTCCACTCGTGTATCGTGAAAACTCCCATCAACGGGATGGTGGGCCATTATTATGAATTTGAGCGCGGCGACCATTGTGGTATGTTTGATGTTCATTCTACTATGCGGATATGCGTATGGAGGCATGTACGTGTGCCTTTGCATTAGCTCATTTCTTGCCCACGCTCATGTTTACCTTCGATGTGGTTGGGTGTTCTTCAAGCTTCGTGTTTGATCGAGGACGAAGCGGGACACACTTCTCCAACGGGCACGGGTCGGATTCGAGGGCGAATCCTGCTCAACTGGGGGAGAATGATGCAGAAGAAATATAAGTAATATTATTATTATTATTATTATTATTATTATTATTATTTAATAATTAGTAGTAGCTTAGGGAATAAGCTGAGTTTAGGGTTACAGGTTTATTTAAAGGACTCTCGTCTTTTGTGTTAAGCAGTTGGATTTTGAGAATGAAAAATTAATCGTGTTCTTTCGGTAGAGTATCCCAAGTTCGAGAGAGTATCTCGTATTGTATCTTTTCCCTTTCGTTCACGCTTTCGCTACATCAATATAAGATCTCGTTCCCTAAAAAAAACAAAAAAAAAAAAGAATGGGATATTCAAATTATAATTTTGAAATAGAATTATACAATTGTTTTATAAATTATCACTAGTAATTCATCTATGCACATGCACAAATTACACTTAAAAAATAAAATAATTATATTGATATATTAAATAGAGTTGAATTAGATTAAATTTATTAAATTGTATTTTGAGTTGACCTTAATCCAGCAATTCACATTTTTGGTCCCATTTTCATAAATTTCCCATCAAATCAATCAATATTGTCATCATCTTGACAAATCCCAAATAACCAGAGAGTAGCAGACAACGCCCTTCTAACCGCCGAGCTACAATCCCATACAAAACAACACACCAATCCTAAACCACACACGCACCATTGTTGATAGACTACGAACAAATCAACATTTTTACTCAGTCCCAAGAATCAATACAGACCCAGCTCAAATTATCTTCATATAAACCGAAAATTGAAAAAAAAAATAATGAGAAATTATATGGGCACCATTTTTCCCTCAACTGCTCCCTCATCCCATCCCTATCCACACATGGGCACACGTAAAAAAATTGGTCTATATATAGACCGAGCCCGATATGGTTTCTTGAAATTAATCAAAATATAGGAAAGTTAACGGTAGGGTTTTGGGTCAACAGATACACATACACTGTGCTGTGTGAGGCGAGGTGGTTTTAGCGGCGATGGATCACGCGGCGGATGCGCACCGGACGGATTTGATGACGATAACGCGTCACGTGCTCAACGAGCAGTCAAAGCACCCCGAGTCGCGAGGGGATTTCACCATTTTGCTCAATCACATCGTCCTTGGGTGCAAGTTTGTTTGCTCTGCTGTTAACAAGGTTGGATTTTTTTGAGTTTTTTTTATTTTATTTTATTTTAATCGTAGTTGCTTTTTTTGTTTAAATTCACGTTTTCCGTTGTGACCCTCTGAGTATTGAAATGGTGTTTACATTGAGAATTTGTGCTGGGTTGATGTTTGCTATGCAATAACAAGGTTGAATTTTTTTTAAAAAAAATATATATATATATTTATTGATTGTAGTTTTTTTTTTTGTTTAAATTAACGTTATCCTTGATTGCCCTCGAGCCTAGAACATTGTTCTAAAAATCGGGCTAGGCGCTACGTGGTGTACGGGCGCCTCAGATTTGCACAAATCGGTCAGGCGGGCCTAGGCGCTCCTAGTCGGGCTCGGCGGCCAGGCGGCATAGGCGGACCTAGGCGCTCCTAGGCAGGCTCGGCAGCAATTTTTCATTTTTTTTTTTTAAATACTAATTACACTGTTTTGTTCTCATGTTTTCTTCAAAACATAATAATATAATTATTTGGGCTTAGGTGTGTCGATTTATTATAAGTTGAGATAGTTTTATTTTGTAGGTAGTTAAAATATATAAAAAAAAAGTTATTTAATATTGATTTATAGGCCCCGCCTAGGCGTTAGGCATTGGTCGAGCGCCTAGCGGGCGCCTAACGACTTTTAGAACACTGGTCTAGAAATGTCGAAACGGTGTTCTTCTTTGAGAATTTGTTGTGGGTTGATGTAGAATTTCAAGGATGTGGTGTAAATATTGGTGTTTTGTGGTTCCATGTGGGAAAAGAAGATAGATGATTCGAGTAACTTTTGGGATTATAGCTTGAGGAATCTTTTGTTCTGCTGCGCAAAGTTGTTTCTTGAGAGTGACAGGATTACTTCAGCCACTCTTATTTAACGATGGTTTGTTTGAGGTGGTTAGTGGACCACAATGAAAAGGTGGCTAGCTTATTGTGCTCTGTGAATTTTGTGATCACTAGAAAATCTAAAAATGGTTGATTCATAGCATATCGTGTTTATGTATTTATAATATCGAGCATCAACTTTGTGGTTTGTAGGCTGGTCTGGCTAAACTTATAGGACTTGCTGGCGAGACCAACGTGCAGGTAAATGTAATTTTTACAATGGATCTTCGTATATTCATTTTAGATTAAATTACAGTTTGCTGAAATTTCTTGTTTGTTTTATTCGTTATGGAAGGGCGAAGAGCAGAAGAAACTAGACGTTCTCTCGAATGAAGTTTTCGTCAAGGCATTAGTCAGTAGCGGCCGAACTGTATGTCACTGAAAACATTTTTTGGTACCTAAAGTATATGTCATTAGAGGTTAAAGAATAGTTGTTTCATGCATACAAGTTTTTTGTGTTACTTTCAGTGCATACTTGTCTCTGAAGAAGATGAAGAGGCGACATTCGTTGACCCCCCTAAGCGTGGAAAGTATGTGTTTTTTTTCCTCTTTGAATCTTATTTTCTATATAAATGTACCTTTGAAAGTCCTGCAGTCTTTCAAAATTATAAAACCCGTTTGATGCTTGTTTCTGTTTTGCAAGTTACAACCCTTCATAAGGGGTTTTTCTTTTTTGGTTGAGTGTGTGTGGAAAGCGATGTTTTTGTATTTTGATTATACTTCATTTCGCTATGTTCATTTTTAAACATGTAGATACTGTGTTGTGTTCGACCCATTGGACGGGTCTTCCAATATCGACTGTGGTGTTTCAATTGGAACTGTAAGTTTTTTTTACCAATTTTATCCGAAAAAATCTCCAAAAAAATTATGGTAATGCGTGGTGTCATTTATTTCCCGCCTTTTGTGTTCAGATCTTTGGCATATATGCGATCTTTGATGGGCACGACCCGAAACTGGAAGATGTGTTGCAGCCCGGGAAGAACATGTTAGCAGCAGGCTATTGCATGTACGGGAGCTCTTGCACGGTATGCTTTGTTATTTGGTCTAAAATATAACACAGCCTTATGTTTATCTAGTCCAAAATAACACGATCATGTTTGAACGTGCATTACGAAAAATTACATTTGCAGTTTGTGTTGAGCACTGGATCTGGAGTTAATGGGTTCACTCTCGATCCATCTCTTGGAGAATTCATACTGACTCATCCAGATATTAAGGTCAAAATTTGGGCAAAAACTTCTATAAATGCTTGTTTAACCAAAATTTCAAACCTTTTGGGAATTAACAAGATTTTTCCTTGTTACAGATCCCGAAAAAGGGCAAAATTTACTCTGTTAATGAAGGAAATGCCAAGAACTGGGATGGTCCAACAGCAAAGTATGTATATACATTCATGTTGTGTTCTATTTTCTTTATACTATCTTATTTTTGTAACGAACAATAGGTACGTGGAAAAATGCAAGTATCCGAAAGATGGATCACCGCCAAAATCATTAAGATACATTGGAAGGTACATAAACTATTCGAACATGGAGCCCATACATAGCTCATATTTTTCATTTTTATAATTTCAAAAATGGATATGAATTAATAAAATGTAACTAAAAATGCATGGTAGTATAGTATAGCATAGCTTATGCCCCTCGTTTTTTCTGATTTCAGCATGGTAGCTGATGTTCACCGTACATTGCTTTACGGAGGCATATTTTTGTATCCAGCTGATAAAAAGAGCCCGAATGGAAAATTGAGGTGTGTCTATTTTCGCATGATTGGTTTAAGTTAACTCGATGAATTCGAAAGACTGAACAACCTAAACAAGGGTACTGGGTAATTTTGTGCAACAGGGTCCTCTATGAAGTTTTCCCCATGTCGTTTTTGATGGAACAAGCAGGCGGACAGGCGTTTACCGGAAAGCAAAGGGTAAGATTCTGAATTTTCAAATATCGAGACCACACACTTAAAAGAAAAAAAAGGAAGGTAGAAAGAGAGAATGAAAAGCTTTAGAACTGAGTGTGTGTAAAACTTGAAAAAACTTCTTTAGAGGTCCATTGATGTATGAAACTCAGTTTTCTACCAAAAGCTCAAAAATGAATGTTTTTTTTTTCTTTTTTTTT